TTGGCCATGACGTGATTTTGTTTGCAACGATTTCAATAGGAAGATAAATTCCCCCTCTGAGGTGATTGTATGATGTTTCATTTTTATTATGACAGGTTTTCTATCTGTTTTTGATGCAGCCAAAGTATGGAATGTCATGTAAGGGAAAGGTCAAGGTTATAATCAGGCCTGTCCCTGGTACTGATTTCTGTACATACACACACAATCAGGCCTGTCCCTGGTACTGATTTCTGTACACACAAACACAATCAGACCTGTCCCTGGTACTGATTTCTGTACACACAAACACAATCAGACCTGTCCCTGGTGCTGATTTCTGTACACACAAACACAATCAGGCCTGTCCCTGGTGCTGATTTCTGTACACAAACACAATCAGACCTGTCCCTGGTACTGATTTCTGTACACACAAACACAATCAGGCCTGTCCCTGGTGCTGATTTCTGTACACACAAACACAATCAGGCCTGTCCCTGGTGCTGATTTCTGTACACACAATCAGGCCTGTCCCTGGTGCTGATTTCTGTACACACAAACACAATCAGGCCTGTCCCTGGTGCTGATTTCTGTACACACAATCAGGCCTGTCCCTGGTGCTGATTTCTGTACACACAATCACACAATCAGTCCTGTCCTTGGTGCTGATTTCTGTACACACAAACACAATCAGGCCTGTCCCTGGTGCTGATTTCTGTACACACAAACACAATCAGGCCTGTCCCTGGTGCTGATTTCTGTACACACAAACACAATCAGGCCTGTCCCTGGTGCTGATTTCTGTACACACAAACACAATCAGGCCTGTCCCTGGTACTGATTTCTGTACTCACAAACACAATTAGGCCTGTCCCTGGTACTGATTTCTGTACACACAATCAGGCTTGTCCTTGGTGCTGATTTCTGTACTCACAAACACAATCAGACCTGCCCCTGGTGCTGATTTCTGTACACACAAACACAATCAGGCCTGTCCCTGGTGCTGATTTCTGTACACACAATCAGGCCTGTCCCTGGTGCTGATTTCTGTACACACAAACACAATCAGACCTGTCCCTGATTTCTGTACACAAACACAATCAGACCTGTCCTTGGTGCTGATTTCTGTACATATACACAGAATCAGATTTTTATTCACATCGTTGATCCTTTTCCCAAATTATAATTGATACCAGTGTTCAGTGTTGCTTTAATTTAGATTTTCAACTCATTCTTTTACTCCAGAAGATTCTGACATCAACAAGTAGTACCAAGCACACAAATTGTAAAACTAAGTGTGACATAACATGAAATAACGTTTCTTCTTGGCACAATATTTCAGAACTCAATTTTCAGGTCAATTTTCTATCACCTCCTACTTACACTCAAGTTACACAATGTCTTTTTGGAGATAATCTTGCCTGCAAAATGAATTTGCTTGTGACCTAATTTAGTCATTAAGCTTGAGAAATCATGTTAGTTGGAAGCAGAACGCTCCCGCATGACATTAGCATGCAAAGTGATCCTGCTCTTGCTTTTTCCTGTATTCTAATTGTCTTCCATGTCAATAATGTTTTCAATAAACATCAAGGTACATATTCAGGGCTCAAAATATTGGGTGCATGTGCACCTTAGTGCACCCAAAATTGAAGCTGTGCACCTATTTTATTTTCTGTGGGTGCACTGGTGCACCCAAATATTCTTGTAGGTATTTTTGTACATATCAAACGTGTGCTGGATATTCTTGGCATCTAAGTGTCAGAAAAATCATAAAATCTTTGTTGTCGTACTTGTTTAAGATTTTGAAGTTAGCTCCCATTTCACATTCAAGCTCAGAAGAGGAGCAGTAAGATCTGTAATTAGGTTTTGTTTTATGTGGTGCACCCAAAAAAAAAAATTGTGCACCTAATTTTTGAGGTTGGGTGCACCACTGCACCTCTTCCCAAAAATGAATTTCGAGCCTTGATACTAGTCTGGATACAAGGCTCTTTTAGTCGCTTCTTTGCCAAAAAATACTGGGCCTGCACATCTTTAATCTGTCAAGAAGCAGGGCTCTAGCCAGCTTAAAATCTTTCAGGTTCATCATCGGATTTGGGGAGGGGGGCGGTCTGGGTTTTCAAGCCTTCAAAAATGCAATTTTCTGCATTTTGAGAGGCAAATCATGGTGATGAGTAGCCTGGTTACCAAACCTATTATAGCTCCCGAGTCCTACATCCTCGGTGTTGAGAGTTGTTGGTGGTGGTCCTTCGTATGTTTTCATATTTTCACCCAAGATTTTTGTTAATTTTGCCTGTCATGGTTGAAGGGTTGCTTTAAAAAAATTTCCGTAACATACCGCAAAATTCTGCCAATTGACGGAAAAACTGGTGCTGGCTAGAGCCCCTGTCAAGAAGTAAAAATTAGTCCTCACCTGTAACATTCTAGTGTCTCTAGTAGCGTGGTGTCTCGTACAAACATCCACTGCCGTTGTACGTGAAACGCCATCATTGAAAATATCACCAGGAACATCAGCACCAGGAAGCCCATCCTCTTCCTCCCCAGTGAACCGCGGAAAATCCCCGCCGCACCGTTACATGCCATTTTCGCTGACGTTCCCCCTCCAAAGCCTTCTATAGCCGCTCAGTTATTGGGTTGACCAGTAGTGACCATGCTGTGAAGAATGGACTGCCGTCGTCTTGCCACAGTTACTTCATCTGCAGGGAAAGATAAATCAATCTTGGTCAGCAGAAAATTGCTGTCAGCTTTTGAACAGCATTGCTGCTGGGCTGCTGTTGGTACTAGACAGAATGCTGTCTGTGTGTGCTGCAAAATGATTAAGTTCAAACTTCTATTTCTTTCCTCTGGAAGTTTGTCACATTGTCCTAAAGTTGTTGGATGGAAAGTCTCTTATGTCTGACAGTGTGAGAGTCACGGATCACCAAAGTGTTCTTGTGCTGGGATTTTGACTGGCATGTCACCCACCGCACCTCTTTGAGATTAGGAAGCCATTAAGCAGGGCTATTGTCTCTCTATAGTACATACAGTGAAGAGTCAAGGCTCCAACTTTCCTGCAATGGTCCAAAGGTTAAATGTGTGCCTTGGTCAGAGCAGCTGAGGAAAGTCTCATATTTAGGATTGAAATTACATGTTGAGTTTGCAGTTGAAACTGTGTATTATTTTTACAATGGAACGTCCAACCACCTTTGTAGTAACTGTATCAACGATTTTTTTGTGGAAAAATGCCAAAAACCCAATCTTAGAAAAATACCACAAATATGTCAAGATTCATAGTAGCTCTTAAATAAATTGCTTGTCAGGCTTATTGTAAAATCACCTTGCTTCTGCAAAGTGACAGTTATAGGCCACAGTACTCATTATGAATGATAACATCATCATGTTAAATATTCATATCAACACAATCTCAAAATGGGACACAATATAGTATTCGCAAATGTGAGCAAAGCCCAGCTGTTTGTCACTTCAGTTTTTTATCAGAATATTCAATTTACTACAGAGATAACACAAAGACAACACTTACAGTTAAAAGTGTTGCGGAGTGTGTGTAATATACTAGTAACAGGAGCTGTCACTTTGCATGCCTGAAAGCTGGTATGTTATGCCAAAGGGTGGTTATACTGGTCTTACACTAAGTTACAGATACCAATTATGAGTGCATGAACAATTTTGAGGTCAAATGTAGACCACAAACTAAGTACTGACATTGTACAAGCCTTAGTATTCTAAGACCCTAACCTGTACCCTGGTGCAGGTAAAATATAGAAGTCAGATTTACATAATGTACCTGCACAGCTCCAATTTTACCTACTCTTAAGTTAAAACCAAAATGTACTTCAATCCCTATTTACTACATACTATTATAGCATCCCAAATTGTAATTGGGCCAGACAAAATTAGCACTCAGGCATGGCTTATCAATAAGAATTACCATTTCACCCCTGGGCCAACATTAAAAACCACCCAACCCTGTTAAGATGAAGAATATGCCGTTTGAATAACAAAAGCAATTCCCTCTTTAGAAAGACACAAAAAACATCAGATTCAATAGAGCTAATACATGAATAATTTTCTCGAGACTGTTAGATTAACCTTTAACAGGGCTCATTCTTTAATATACAACATGGAAAACCTGTTAGGGTGTGAAGACCCTGAATCCCTTTGAGAGCCTTGTCTAAGCCACGTAGGAAATGATTTGAAATGCAGTCTTCCCGAACCTCAGCACTTATCGACTCGAAGCTAGGCCATGCTAATGTCTTTACTTGGTTTTGGACATATTTTATGTTTACCTTTGAAGAAGGAAAAGATCTTGAAATTGTTTTTTCTTCTTCTGTCACAAACAAATAATTCAGTCCGTCAAAAAATCTGACTGCCATAATTCTTAAGTGTCTGACAGGTTTCAAACTACAAACGATGCTAAAATATACCACGTACCGCAGCAAAAATCTGTCCAAAAAATCATCTGACTGCCGTAACTTCCCAAGTCTCTGACAGTAAAATAGCTCTATAACTACAAATGATGCCAAAACACACCGCTTACTTCAGCAAAAATTCATCACAAAAATCTGACTGCCCTAACTTCCCAAGTCTCTGACAGGTATGTAGCTTTCTAACTACAAACGTTGCTAAAATATACCACTAACCTCAGCAAAAATCCGTCAAAAATAATCTGACTGTCCTAACTTCCCACATCTCTCACAGGTACAGTAAGTAGCTCTATAACTACTAATGATGCCAAAACACACCACACTTACCTTAGCAAAAATCTGTCAAAAATCATCTGACTGCCCTAACTTCCCTAGTCTCTGACAGGTTAGTAGCTCTATAAATACAAACGATGCCAAAACACACCACACTTACCTCAGCAAAAATCCATCAAAAAATCTGACAGTGCCTTTAGTTAGCTTCCCACATCTATGACAGGTAAGTAGCTTTCTTAGACTACAAACTATGCTAAAAAACACCACTTACCTTAGCGAAAATCTGTCAAAAAATCTGACAGTGCCTTAACTTCCCAAGTCTCTGACAGGTAAGTAGCTCTCTAACTACAAATGATGCCAAAACACACCACACTTACCTCAGCAAAAATCCATAAAAAATCTGACAGTGCCTTTAGTTAGCTTCCCACATCTATGACAGGTAAGTAGCTTTCTTGGACTACAAACGATGCTAAAACACACCACTTACCTTAGCGAATATCTGTCAAAAAATCTGACTGCTATAAAATCCCTAGTCTCTGACAGGAGTGACATGTAATAAGTAGCTCAGTCTCTAACTGCAAACCATGCTAAAATATACAACTTACCTTAGCAGAAATCCATTAAAAAATCTGACTGCCTTACTAACTTCCCAAGTCTCTGACAGGTAAGTAGCTCTTTCTCACCTACAAACGGTTGAGGGACTGCCGAGTTTTCGAGCTGCTCTTCTCCATTAGAACTGATGAGTCAGGAGGGAGGCAACACGCCCCAAATTGGATCCAACCGCCTTTTACATTTAGGGCATGCGTGTTATCAATTTACTGTAGCGGGGACCGTAAAGCGAACCTCCATAAATCCTAATGATGAGTACACAGCAGGTTGTTGGTATGAAGATTCTATCCGTATACCCTTTTGTGTCGTCTCCTAAAGATCGCTGGGACTGGCGCTATGGAAAGCTGCACTAGCTGGCTGCTCAGGGCATGAAGGGCTAGGAAAAACAATGTTGCGTTTCCTGTTTCAGTCCAGAAAAAATTAGGGTCAGTAGGTAGGGATTATCGTTTTGTTTCTCTTTTTTCAGACTTCGTTGAGCTCTAGTGATCTAATTTATTTGTTATTCTGAGAGTAAAACTTGCATGAGGACACTTTTATTTTCAAAGGCAATGTTGGAAAATTTGAATGTACAACGTTTCATCACTCAGATCATGGAGCTCGAATGATCAGCTCGAAAAATTTATGTCACTTGCAGGGGTCCACTAAAAAAAAAGGCTAGGGTCTGCAGGTTTATCTAGGGTCGGTCGGGAAACACATCATTTTTTTCCTAGGCCCAACCAAAGCGCTAGCAAGGCAGAAAATGTAATAGACCCATGAAAGCAGTCAGAAAGCCCTAGGTACTGACGGCCAAACCAGTTCATTTGCTCGGTTCTTGATAGAGCTGTGCGCCTAAACAAATTTTAGGTAAAGGTACATGGGTTATAGAAAGGTAACTCTCTCTAGACCAGACTATTTAAAAACAATTTTTCCAAGTCTTCCAAGAGTTCCAAGAGCTGAATTTTATAATAATTCTGTTCGTGCAGCTAGCACTAGAGTGCTTGTCAAGGCTGGAAATTGGGTAGACTCAGGAATAACAGAACGCATTAAGGCAAACAAATTTAATTTTTTTCAGCTCCCAGCTTTTTAAGAATAATGCTCAAGAAGATCAATAAATAACTAGAAGGGAACGTTGCTACCTAGTTAGTGGTTCACACAGTTACAAAAATCCATTCTATTATTAGTCTGATGCAAATTTTTCCCACAGTCTCTTGTTTCTGTTTCATTCAATTCTTACTCTGGAATTTTTATTACATTTCACATCAAAATCTCTGAGATGAAGGTAAACTTAATGTCAAGGGTTAAGACCCATCAGACTTGTAAGCCATTTAGAAGCCATAGGTGCAGTGGGTTGTTAATCCACAGTGTCTAGGGCACGGTATTGGAAGGCAGAGCCCATCTCTTTCCTTCCACTGCCTTAGCTTTTACCTCCCCAAACAAAATCAGGTACCCATTTTCTTACACCTGGGTGGAGTGAGCAAAGCCTTGTACTAGTAAGTGCCTTCCCAAGGACACAACGTCTAGCCAGGAATGGAACTCATGACCTTTTGTACATGTATGTGTGCTAGTGCTGCATACCGGTTCACTGGACTTGGATCCGGACTTGTAAGAATGTTTAGGTTCAAGTCCAAAAAAACCTAAAAGTCAAGAACTGAGTCCAGACTTATTACCATAAAAGACCATTTTACATACCCCTTTTCTTTTCAAACCATCTAAAACCTTCCGTAGATTGCAAAATCTTTGCTGCAAAATGAAGAAAACATTGCCATCGGGCATCGTCAAGTACCGGCCTCCAATTGTTATGTGGTCAAAGTTTCACCCAGACAACATGCAATTTTGTATATGCCATGGGCTTAGGTCCGGACTTACAAGTCCGGAACTGAACCTAAACCTCTGGACTTGAATCCGGACCTCAACCTAAAATTGTGTTTAGGTATGCATCACTAATGTGTGCTAGCCTAGCCAATTGGCCATTTTCACTCCCCCAGTCTGATAACCAAAGAAATAAAGCAGTGTGGCCCAAGCAGAGCGCCAACAAGGCATAAAACGTGATAGACTGGAGGAAACAGAGTAAGCCCTGGGTACCAAAAGTACACGAGCCAGGAGTGTGCTTATATATCAGCCTGTCAGGGGCAGTTTTAGGGAATAAACTTACAGCAGCAGCAAGACGTGACAAGGGTTCGTATAAGTCTGAGGAAACACTCGCCTAGAATGACGAGAAATTGAGAAATATGTAAAGAGGATTATATTTTTGCATCATAGAAAGACATACATGTCAAAGAAACTAAATTCCCCATACAGTGTACTGTAATTCACCTAATGTTCATGGTAGCAAAAGTTCACGGTCAGAGAAAACTGGACATGTTCACAGGACTATATATTCACGGTGGCGACACCTGCAGGAAAAAGAAAGT